CTTTCTGAGCACACTTTGTGTTTGCTTGACCAGTCTGTGAAGAAAGGTATAATTTATCAGCATTGATCACTGATGTCCCTGAAGGTCAGCTTTGGTAATGAAACTGAATGTCACAGCCAAAGAAAAAAAAACAAAAAACAGCATGATTTATGTTGCGATATGAAATGGCGTGTTCACCTGATGGCGGTGAATGTCACTCTGTATTTTTCAAACTGTCTATTGCTTTTTCTCAGACATCCATCATCATGATTGGTTTCATAATATAATTTCACAATAACCCTTGGCCTCAGTCTAAACATGTAAGACTTTCTTTTGGAGTTTAACTTGTATTTTCATTAGTTTTCGCTGTATGGAAAAGAGCAGCATGAGCATTCTTCAAAATATCTACTTTTGAGTTTAAAGTCCTTGTAGACTGGAAGTTGCTGAGACTTTTATTTAGTTTGTTGATGTATTTTCAGCTAAAACTGAATATTGAGTAGGAGGTGGGGCTTTCTTTTTACACTTCATTCACTGATAACAAACTAATTGTAAAAGGGGTGTGGTTAACTATTTTGTAGAGGATTCCATCAAACTGACATCAATAGAAAACCACTCCAAAAGCAGAAGCAACAGTTCATAGAGACATTAACAGAAGATAAAATTACACAGAGAGAAAGAAAATGATGACTGAATTTTCAGTGAATGCTTATATAAAAATAACAATGATAAATTAAGAACAAATGCACCATCTTTCTTTATTTTACATAATTATAAAATTATTTTTCAATGAAAAATTTAAGTACTTGAGCTTTTGAATCATACAGTTAAATCAACATCCTGAACTCTGTCCATCCATTGTTTGTTTTCTTACATTATTTACATTATTCACGTTCCCCCTTGCTGTGCATCAAGAACTGAACTTTGTGCAGAAGTTTAATGCAAGGGTGACCGATTGCCTGCATTGGCTTCGAATATGTTGGCATGCATTTTGTTTCGTTGTTGTCACTTTAAATGTTTAAGCTATTGAAGCACTCGCCTAAAAGCTGCAGCCTCAAGACGTGATGTGAATGTTAAGTCTCCTTCATTGTTGTCTTGTAGGGTTACTTTGGAAGTCGGCCAAAGGCAGCAGTTGCATAAACCATAAAGAATAAGACACTAACAATGGATCAGATGAATGAGGTTCAGCACTTGAGAGAAAAATTCAGTCCAACACTATCCATTATAGAATATTAGAACAAACAAAAATGGTTTAGGTGCTTATTTTCTCACTACATACTTAATATTCATAGAAATACATAATTCACATGCTCACAGTCAGTTTGGCATAAAGTTTATGAATGCATAATTTACTTATTTAGCGAGAGTGTTTTTTTTTGGGGGGGAGGGGGGGGGTAGTAAGTGTATTTTGTGATGCTTTTTTCAATATTTTACAATTGTAGATAATTGCACTAATTTTTTTAACGTTTCAAATTTATATTTATTTAAATTTACTTGTATCTGCAGCTGAAAATCAATGAACGGAAATAGTATGGAAAATAATTATTGTTTTTTTCAGTGAAACTCATTTTAATGCTATCTAATCGCGTAAATAGATGTGCAAATATCAAAATCAATGATTCACTTTATAATTTCATATGCTCTAAAAGTATTATTTGAATGAATTATTTAGTTACAAAAATGCACATATTTATTAAATGGTTTTATTGTTCATTTTATTAAAACTAAGTGTATTTTTTTATTTTTGCTTTTAACTGCCTAATAATTAACTTAAAATCATTTTGGCATTCATCTCTTTATACTGGCATCATTAATAAATTAGTTAGTTTTTTTAATTATTAACCTAATATCATTTTACTTGAAATGTGATTCCAATTATTTAAATTATAATTATAATTTATTCTACAACTAATAATAATAATAATAATAATAACAATAATCGGCCGGCCTCATAGAGATTTTGGAAAACTGTCCGGCGCCTCAGGAGGGGAAAGCATCTCCACATCGACGCTGTTTACAGCGGAAGTGGGGAGCTTTTGACCTCAACTGGGGATGTTGTCGGGTGGTGGAAGGAATACTTTGAGGATCTCCTTAACCCCACCATCATGTCTTTTATCGAAGAAGCAGAGACTAGGCATGCAAGGGTGGACTCGCCCATCACCCAGGCTGAGGTCACTGAGGTAGTTTGCAAGCTCCGCAGTGGCATAGCAGCGGGGGTGGATGAGATTCACCCTGTGTATCTTAGGTCTCTGGATGTTGTGGGGCTGTCGTGGCTGACAAGTCTTTACAACATCGCATGGAGGTCGGGGACAGTACCTTTGGACTAGGCAACTGGGGTGGTGGTTCCCATTTTTAAGAAGAGGGACCGGAGGGTGTGCTCCAACTATAGGGGGATCACACTCCTCAGCCTTCCGGGGAAAGTCTATGCCAAGGTACTGGAGATGAGGATCCGGCTAATGGTTGAACCTAGGATCCAGGAGGAACAATGCGGTTTTTGTCCGGGCCGTGGTACACTGGACCAGCTCTATACCCTTACCAGGGTGCTCGAAGGTTCATGGGAGTATGCTCAACCATTTCACATGTGTTTTGTGGACTTGGAGAAGGCATTCAATCGTGTCCCTCGCGGCATTCTGTGGAGGGTGCTCAGGGAGTATGGGGTCAGACTCAGAGGCGATCTGTTGAGGGCCGTCTCGTCTCTGTATGAACAGAGTAGGAGTCTGGTTCGCATTGCCGGCAATAAGTCAGATTTGTTTCCAGTTCATGTTGGACTCCTGCAGGGCTGCCCCTTTTTACCAATTCTATTCATAATTTTTATGGGCAGAATTTCAAGGCGCAGTCTTGGGCTGGAGGGGGTCTGGTTTGGGGAACACATGATTTCATCTCTGTTATTCGCAGACGATGTTGTTCTGTTGGCTTCATCAGACATGGATTTGCTGCCGAGTGTGACGCGGCTGGGATGAGAATCAGCACCTCCAAGTCCGAGCCTCCGAGGCCATGGTGCTCTACCGGAAAAAGGTGGTTTGCCATCTCCAGGTTGGAGGAAAGTCCTTACCCCAGGTGGAGGAGTTTAAGTATCTTGGGGTTTTGTTCACGAGTGAGGGAAGGATGGAACGTGAGATTAACAGGTGGATTGGTGCAACGGCAGCAGTAATGCGGTCGATGTACCGGTCCGTTGTGGTGAAGAAGGAGCTAAGCCGAAAGGCAAAGCTCTCGATTTACCGGTCAATCTACGTTCCTACTCTCACCTATGGTCATGAGCTTTGGATCATGACCGAAAGGACAAGATCTCGGATACAAGCGGACGAAATGAGTTTTCTTCGAAGGGTGGCAAGGCGCACTCAATATGGATAGGGTGAGGAGCTCTGGCACCCGGGAGGAGTTTGGAGTAGTTTGGAGGAGTCGCTGCTCCTCCACATCGGGAGAAGTCAGCTGAGGTGGCTCGGGCATCTGTTTCGTATGCCTCCTGGACTCCTCCCTAAGTAGGTGTTCCAGGCATGTCCCACCGGGAGGCAGCCTCGGGGAAGACCCAGGACACGCTGGAGGGACTATGTCTTTCAGCTGGCCTGGGAACACCTCGGGATCCCCCCTGAGGAGCTGGAGGAAGTGTCTAGGGATAGGGAAGTCTGGGATTCTCTCCTAATGCCTGGTTTATGGATTTATTTACTATATATATATATATATATATATATATATATATATATATATATATATATATATATATATATATATATATATATATATATATATATATATTCACATATTTCTTTATTTCTTTATTGTTTTATTTATGCAAGAATTTATGGATTTATTTACAAGTTTAAATATTTGCGTATTTATTTAATGTTTTATTTATGCAAGAATTTATATTTTTTGTTCACAAATTCATTTATATATTAGGATATTTCTTTATTGTTTTATTTATGCAAGAATTTATGGATTTATTTTTAAATTTATATATTTTCATATTTATTTATTTAATGTTTTATTTATGCAAGAATAATGGATTTATTTACTCATTTATTAATTTGCATATAAATGTATTTAATGTAGTATTTTTGTAAGGATTTATGGATTTATTTACAAATTTATGTATTTGCATATTTATTTATGTTTTATTTACTTTTTATTTATGCAAGAATTTATCGAATTATTAACTCATTTATTTATATATACGCATATTTCTTTATTGTTTTATTTATGCAAGAATTTATGGATTTATTTTCTAATTTATATGTTCGCATATTTATTTATTTAATGTTGTTTTTTTGCAAGAATTTATGGATTTATTCATCAATTATATATGTTTACGTATTTATTTATTTTATGTTTTGTTTATGCAAGAATTTATGGATTTATTTACTAATTTATATAATTGCATAATAATTTATTCTATGTTTTATTTATGCAAGAATTTATGGATTTCTTTAATCATTCATTTGTATATTTTTGTATTTATTTATTTGTTTATTTAGCCGATTGTTTTATCTATGCAATAATTTACAGATGTATTTAATCATTTATTTATATATTTGCGTAATTATTTATTATTGTTTTTGCAGGCTTCGTCCTCCATAAACAGTTTAAAACTGACTTCTTATGTATACAATAATTATATGTGAAATCGAACTTTATGCAATTATCTCTTGTTTGTTTGTTTATTTGTTTATTCATACATTTTAAATGCTAAATTACTTAAAACTTTAAATTATCCTTACATTTTATAATGTACGCCATGCAAGTAGTAGGCTATGTTTTTAAAATATGTTGTTAATTGTGTCTTTTATATTCTTGTTTTTTTTTTTTTTTTTTTTTTTTTTGCCTTGTCATTTGCAGATCAACTTTCTATTGGCTATCGGCGTTGCTCTTCCCTGCGCGCGCGCAGCTTGGAATGGGAATAAGGAAGTAAACAATAATGTGCGCAGAGGATCGAGCAGTGTTCCCATTGAAAAAAGAAAAGTTCTTGTATTGCCAAAGACGTAGCCTTTAAATATTACCCACGTCTGCTCTAAACGGCAACAAACAACGGCGCGTTTAGAGTTTGTAGTTGATGACAACATTTTCCACTGGTGAGTATATATGAACGCTTCTACAAACTGATCAACTAATATAAAGAAGATAAGATCGAATACAGCAATATAAGATTTATAACATTCTGCACACAGACCTCCTGGGTTTATTATAACGACATAATAGCTGCTATTAAGTCATTATGTCTCCTGAGACAATAGACTATTAACAGGATGCTATCAAATGACTGTATTCAACTACTTTGTTTACTGGTAATTGAACAAATGCCTGAAAGGATAGAAAATGAGTTCACTAAGACTTATATGCTGCATTAATAGTGGTGCAAGCTTTGTTATCTTATTCAAAACTATGTCTGTCTGTCTGTCTATCTATCTATCTATATAGCTATATCTATCTATCTATCTATCTATCTATCTATCTATCTATCTATCTATCTATCTATCTATCTATCTATCTATCTATCTATCTATATATATATATATATATATATATATATATATATATATATATATATATGTATATATATATATATAAATACACCAGGATAATTACAGTATAATTTACTACTCTTCATTGTCTATAAGTGCCAAAAAAGCCTCAAACTCATTATGATGGCAACCCGAAACAACACTGCCGGTGCTGCTCCAAACAACAAAGTGAAATACTCGAGGCTGGCAGACAGCGATGAAGGCTACATCGATCTACAGGTGAGAAAATATCTAAGCTGTAAAAGACTCGCCGGCCACTTTATCATGTACACCTTGAAAGTGCTATCAGTTAGAGGTTTTTTTTTTTTTGGTCTCCAGAGCTCCCTTAAAGGTATATTTTTAAGGGATACTCTTAAAATGTATTCACTGTTTGCTCACCCTCAAGTGGTTCCAAACTTTTATAAGTTTCTTTTTTTTTGCTGAACACAAAAGAAGATATTGTGAAGGAAACTGTAAATCTGTAACCATTGACATCCATAGTAGGAAAAACAGACACGAAACATCTTATTTTGTGTTTAACAGAAGACAGAACGCTATAAAGGTTTGAAACATTGGGTGAGTAAATGATGACAGAATTAAAAATTTTGGGAGAACTATCTCTTTATATCTCTGTGGCACAGATTCAACAAAGAGGAGCTGGAAACATTCCTTGGCATTATTGATATAATGATAAGTTGAAGTTTCTGAGAGTTTGTCAGCTGCACATTCATGATGTGACTCTCCTGTGGATTTTAGTTTAGTGAGCTGAATGTGATGTTCAAGAAAACAGTTTGAGATGCTTTGAGCTTTGTGTAACAGAGACACCACAACAGTCGCAAGAAGGGATTACTGCGGTTTAGGGCTGCAACATACAGGGAAAGTAAACAATATTGTTGTTTAATTGTGTAATAAAGAAATTGCTAGCAAGATAACATTTAAATAAAGAAATGCTACTGTTATCTTTTTTCTTTAAATCATTAATTGATGTTTTGATAATACAGTAAAGATAAACAGGTAATAGATATTATTACTGAGACATTTATTTCAGTAGGGTGACACAGTGGCTCAGTGGTAAGCACTGTCGCTTCACAGCAAGAAGGTCACTGGTTTGAGTCCCGGCTGGGCCAGTTGGCATTTCTGTGTGGAGTTTGGATGTTCTTCCCGTGTTGGCGTGGGTTTCCTCCAGGTGCTCCGGTTTCTCCCAAAGTCCAAAGACATGCAGTATAGGTGAATTGAACAACTAACTAAATTGAATAACTAACTAAACATAACTAAATTGGCCGTAGTGTATGTGTGTGAATGAGTGTGCATGGATGTTTTCCAGTACTGGGTTGCAGCTGGAAGGGCATCTGCGGTGTAAAACATATGCTGGATAAGTTGGCGGTTCATTCCACCGTGGCAACCCCTGATTAATAAAGGGACTAAGCCGAAGTAAAATGAATGAATGAAATTATTTCAGTATGTTGACTACTTCCAACTGAAACAGAATATTGAGTAGGGGGCGGGGCTTTCTTTTCATGCATCATTCCCTCATAGGAAAGTAACAGTAGGAGGGGTGTTGTTAAGATTATTTTGACTGAAGCTGTCAAACCAACAATATGGCAGTTTGTAACCTTTTGATTTAGTGGCATATTGGTATTAATTTGTACAACTTAGTAACATTTGCTCATCTCCCAATGACGGTTGGGAGATGGGCTTAGGTGCTAAAATATAAATACCATACATTTTCATATTACTGGACTCAAATTAGCCACTAAACTGACAAAAATGTAAAAAGTAGTTTTGTTTCTTTGTGAAATCAAGCAACACTGTAGAAAAATTGCTGGGTTCCACACAATTGATTTGTGTTAGGGCAACATAAAGAAATTAAGTTAACTTAGTAGTTTTTACAAATTTAAACAGATCGAACATACTTAAGTATGTTGCAAAAAAAAAAAAAAGCTCAATAATTTTTTTTTGTTTTAAATATTTTAAAATAAGTGGTTTGAACCAACATCAAATGTCATTATTTTCAGCGTAATCAAACTGTTGTCAACAGAGAAGGCCACTCCAAATGTGGAACCAATTGGTCAGATTTAGATTTAGATATAATTGTTCACCTAAAGAACAGCAATGTGTGTTAGCAAAACAAATATTATAAATTTAGATTTCACTCAGACTTAACTCACCTTTCCTCCTCATTCTGATTCTCAGTTCAAACTTCAGCATACCGTCTTGTTGACCACATCTGTATCCCTAAAATCATTTCTGCCAGGCTTATTAGATCTTTGCATTAACAAGCAGCTGAACAGGTGTTCCTAACAGAGTGGCCTGTGAGTGTATATATTCTAATACATATTATTGTATGCATTAAAACATGAACACTCTTTTATAGTTCAAGAGAACCCCACCTAAAGTACCCTACAAGGCAATTGCCCTGGCAACGTTCCTATTTCTGGTGGGCTCTTTATTGATTATTGTTGGATCACTTCTATTGGCAGGATACATTGAGGTTACGGTGAGTAGACAAACCTGCAGTTCTGTGCTTGTTCAAGTGCACTGTACCTGTCAGTATGTTTGACAGCAATATTATGATCTTTTTGTAGTATCCAGATCGCACGATTCCAGTTCTCATCATCGGCATACTTATCTTTCTTCCTGGATTTTACCATCTTCGGATTGCTTATTATGCTTCCAAAGGTTACCGTGGTTACTCTTATGATGACATCCCAGATTTTGATGACTAAATGGATCTACTTACACTGAATGCTGTTACTTTTGTGTGTTTTTCTGAATCTGTTGCATGTGTTGCCTTCAGACTTTTATTGTCTATTTACTCGCTGTAAGAGAAACTATGGTACACTGTGGCCTGGCTGAGCTTTACTGAGCTGAATACCTTTATTTTACCAAAAGGAGAAAAAAAGTGCAATATTAATCAAAATAGAGGATTTATATTTAGATAAATACATAAAATGTCAACAACAAATATGCTGATATTTTCATAGCTTTTTGTAAAACTCTATTTAAAAGAAGTATTGTTTAGAAAGCAAGGAAATGCATATTTTTTTGTAATGGAGCATGTGTTATTTACTGTTTATACTACCAGTAAAACGTTTGGACACAATTTTTGTTTTAAATTTAATTTGTACGCTATTTGCATGTACTGCATACATACATATATTAAAATATAACAAAAATATAACAACATTTTGTACAAAACTCATACAAAAGTTTGACGGAGATGGCCACCTTAAAATTCTTCTTTATAATCTTGACTACATTTAAAAAATCAATAAATATATCATTAATACATAAAATGCCCTTTGCTATTCCCTCCCTACCCTAGCCTTTATTTTTTCAACAGTGTGAGAACCTTTATGCAGTATTAATATACAATGTAAATGTATTGTACACCCACACATAAGAAAAGAAAAGCAAAGTAAATGTAAGTTTCTTCCAGAGATGTTTTTAAAGCATCTCAGAAATGTACTTTTGGGACCCCCTCGAAAATGAGATGGCTCATCTCAAGGGGCTATCTTATTCAATAAATTCAAATTCAGATTCACCTCATAAAGCATATACTGTATGATATATCATATTTATAGTTATTTATAAAACAATTATTTGTTTCTTTTGTTTCTCTTTTAGTGTATAATTACCTTTTTAGTTTATTATTAGAATTAACTTTTATATAAATGTAGTAAATATTAAAATATGATTTACTATATAAAATACAGTAAATAGTAAGAATCAAATTCCAGCAGATGTGTCCAAGCCTTTGACTGGCAGTCTAATTGCTGTAGCAGTATTGTATTATTGCTGTTGATGAATAAACTGGTTTTATTCAGTTTTGATGTTCAACTGCTTGTGCTTATTTCTAAAGTAACAAACAGCTCTTTGAGAAGCATTGAAGGATATGAGAACAATTAGCATTTTCGATTAATTTTGATTTAAATATTTAAACAATGTTGAAAATCGATACACTTAGATCCATTTAGTAAAGAAAAAAATGTACGTTTTTTAGAAAAAAAATAAATAAATAAAACAAATGACGCAGCTTACAGCTTCAGTTTCAGACAGTAATACAGGCCTGTAGCCAGCCTGGTAAAAGGGGTGGTTCTTTTTTCTCTAAAAGTTATTCGTGTCATTTTGTATGTAATTAATGAGGTTTAAATACTCCATTTAGTGACCTTTTAAGCATTATTTTCAGCTAGATTGGCGTGTTAGATGGTCATCAAAACCACAATTTTTGATGTATCAAAAATATTTTCTAAAGATTTAGAATCAAGAAACATGGAAAATTTTTTTATTTGTTTTATACAAATTAAATAAATCATAACAGTAGAAAGAATTTTGCAGCCTATTGTCATTTATTAGACAAATAACAAACTGTAGCAAAGCTTTCATCAGTCAGAATGTGCCCATTTGCTTAAAAAAACGTTTAAAACATAATATGAATATTGTAGAGCTTAAGGATTTTTTTCTAGCCTAAATTAAATTCGAACTTTTCTGGATAACAACAAAAGCCTATGTAGTATTCATATTAATTTGCTTTGCACATTTCATTGATCATTTTTTTTCTTTCAAGGTCCAAGATTTAGAATAAAAGTTACTTGTAAAATGTTTTCTGTATTTATTAACAACACAATAGTTTACTTCACTTACGTCAGATAAAGCCTTCGGGTTATTTCCACAATTTATGATGGCATAGCGGTCAAAATAGGATTAATGAGCTATCATGTATGGGGCACCCACTGGACCTTTGTCAGTGGGGGGTGGGTCTTTCGAACCATACGACCCCCCTGGTTACGGGCTAGCAAAAAAAAAAAAAAAAGAAAAAAAAGGAGTATACAGTGCAATAATTGGTAGGGTTGTGTACGTTTATAGTTTGTTCAAAAATCACAGAAGAACATTGCTGTCCTCTAGTGGCGATTAGTAGCGTTAGGCTCACTTTATAGCAGAAGTGCTCTGCTACCGCTAGGGGGCCCCGTTACTGCTATATTTACAGTTGAAGTCAGAATTATTAGCCCCATGTTTATTTTTCCCCCAATTTCTGTTTAATGGGGAGAAGATTTTTTCAACACATTTCTAAACATAATAGTTTTAGTAACTCATCTCTAGAAACTGATTTCTTAAAAAAATTGCTTAAAGGGGCCAATAATTTTGTCCTTAAAATTTAAAACTGCTTTTATTCTAGCTGAAATCAAACAAATAAGACTTTCTCCAGAAGAAAGAAATTTTATCAGACCTACTGTGAAAACTTCCTTGCTCTGTTAAACATCGTTTGGGAAATGTTTAAAAAAGTAAAAAAAAAAAAAAAAAAAAAAAAAAAAAAATCAAAGGGTTGCTAATAATTCTGACTTCAACTGTATGTACACATCAAGCTGTCAATGCAAGGATTTATACTATTTATACTAATGAGAGCATTTATTACATTAAAATCTGAATTTTAAACTCAACAGGGCAAAGCAAAGTAAAATATTTTAATACTATTAATAAGTAATATTAGTATGGCTATAATAATAACAAAGCTGAATTTTAGTTTTTTAAGGATAAAAAAGTACAAATTACTTTTTAGGCAAAACATTACTGAAACTACAATGATTTTTCATTAACACAACATTATTCACTTTTTGAGCCGGATTTTATGAAATTATAAAAAAGAAAGTAAAAAAAAAAAAAGTATAAGCCTAGCTCAACAGTTGTTTTGTCTTAATGTGTGTGTAATAAAAAGTAATCTATTTCTCCTTCATTTAATATTTTCAGCATTTTTATTATTTGCTTTATATTTATAAATGTTTATTGTCATCACTGGCATACACAGGTATCATTGGTTCAGTCCCTAAGAGTCAGTCAGGTTACCCAAAGCATAGATGCATACAGTAAAATTGCAAGTGCAAACTCGTCCTATACGGGATGTGAACCAGAAATGCATCTTATTCAAATTATTTAGAATTATTTGTGAAAACTGCTCTTTTCCAGCAAGCATCAATGTCACTGTCAGATCCCAGACTGATGGCAATGACGACACCCAGTAGACATAGGTTTCCAGGCTAATCAGTGAGTTTATATTGTAATCATGAATACATAGAGAGGGTTTGCACTAACATCAATATTTGGTCAGTTACCCATATGCGCAGTCATACTGGTGTTACTTGGATGTAAACAACAGGATGGATTGCACAGTTAATATAGTGAATATATTGTTCTGTCTAAAAGAGTGTGGAAGCTGATAAATCACATTAAGAAGGTGTATGACAGTACACTGTAAGAAATCTAAGAATAAAATGATTTAATCAGGTTTCAGCTAATTTTAAAATATATTTAAAGTTTAAGCTAATATTTTTTGTCATAATTTTAGGCAACAAGAGTTTTTTTTTTTTACAGTGTTGAAAAGGTTTGATAGTTGATCATTTTCTGCAGTAATAATCAGGAAAATATGCTAAGTTCATTCAGTTCTGCTAACATTGTTTATATTCTGTGCCTTTAATAGATCCCTTTGATAACACATTATCAGATTGCAAGATCTGCACAGATTTGACTGTTGCAGATCAATAAATTACAAGCAAAATATATTTACAACACAAATAAAGATAAAAACAAGCTAACAAGGGAGCTCGGCACAAATTGATCAAGTTGATCTCAATGTGCTGGCCACTGAGAGAAAAGAACAAAGGGACCAAAACAATTACAAATATTCTTAAGAAAATACTTGTTCACTTCACAGTAAAACGATGTAGTGTAACCAACTTCAGTTTACACATCATGGCTCTCCTGCTGGTTATACGCTTACATAAACATGAAATAAATAGAAAAAAAAGTTTAAGAGAATAAACATTAATAAAAAAGTAAATGGAAAAAAATATAAATTAAGTAAACAAATATTCAAGAATAAGTTCAGTATTAAGTTGAGTTAAAAATGAATTAAATTTGTGGTACTAAAGGATGCTACGTTATTTTTCTATTATTACATTTATCTAATTATTTATACACGTGTTCATATTTTTATATGGAGTATTTACGTTTTTAATATGGGGTTTGTTCTTCCATATTCATATTAAGTCTGAGTAAAATAATAATAAAAAAGCTAAAATACAAAGTCTATCAAATAAAAAAAATATGAACAGTGCTCGGCATAAATGAGTGCACCCCATTTTGAAAATTAATACTTTTATCCATTTCAAAGTAAATGAAGGCAATGTATTTTGGTGCATTTAAACAAAACAGATTTATTTACAGATATATTTATTAAAATAATATTTTAGTCACTAAACATATTTAGAAATTCAAAGATTATACAATTAAATTCATGCAAAATACTGCAAAAAAAAAAGTTAAATAAAATACAACTTACAAAATATCAACAAAATTTTCATGTTTCTTTGCTTATCTTGAATTTTCCTCTTTTTTTAAATTTGTATTTAATATTTTTCTATAACATATATATTCGGGTGTACTAGTTTTTGGACCGTTTTCGTAAGTTATTTTGTTGGATAAGCTCCAGATTTGGCTTCAGTACTGACTAATCTCTTGTATATGCACAAATAATAGTGTATAGATTCCTATTAAAAATATGAATTTAAAAGATAGATTTGTGAGGGGTGTACGCTTATGCTGAGCACTGTGTGTAAGCTAATTTTACAAGTATGAATGTCCTTTTTTCATGTTCCCTGTAATTGGACATATGAGCTTGACCACCTCAGGAGAAATAGGCTTAACATAACAGATAGTTAACACAACAAGCTCTTGTTCACCTTCCTCGGTTGTTTTCCCTCCAAGGAAGGAATCTTATCTGTTGATATGATGTCATTTCACTTTGCCAGCTGTAGTCCACAGCAAGGTGGGCAATGCAGAAGTTTAGGGACGAGCTGAAATCCTTTATTATGTTTATTTAAATTAATGAATTACTTGAAATTACACACAAATATTAGAGAGGAATACTATGGATATAGCAATAAATGTGGTACTCAGTATGAAGGTATTCTTCATTAGAATGACAAGCACATGGTGGCATGGAAAAATTTCTGTAAAATTTAAAATGCTTTAGTATTTCTGGATCATTATCACTATAAAGTGCCTTTGATGTCCCATGAGATTGAATCAGTCCTTTATGAACATACTGCGAAATAATGAAATTGTGCTATTTTTATATAACTGGTTAAATCTTTACACACATGCAGGTACAACTATAAGAGTTTTGAAACATGTTTTTGTCAATTTTTGCATTATTCTTGAATTGAATGGGTGTGACTTTGCCTTGTCCTACACACTGCTCAGCCATCTTTAGTGAGTCTATAAAGTAGGCAATTTAGATCAAATTAAAAAGATTTTAAAATATCTGTACTGACATCAACAAGTTATTTGAGAAAATACGTCATTTAGTTCAGTATAATTAAAAAAAAAGTTAATTATGCTTGTTCTAAACCTGCTATTACTTCAAAGACAACTTTAAACTGATTACTTTTATTTGAAAAAAAAAGATAAATAATAAATAAATAAATAAATAAATAAATAAATAAATAAATAAATAAATAAATAAATAAATATCTTTACTGGGAACACAAAAGGCACAGAATCCCAGGAATTAACTATTGTTAACAGTTTAATACTAGGTTTCACCTGCATGTAATATCCATCAACACCTAAAGCAAAATGTTGGCTATCTTCAATTTCATCCAACCCACATTCTGAGCCAACATGGTGATATGTTTTATTTTATTTACATATTTTTTTTTTTACAGGAGTGTTTTACCTGTGCCCAGGTGATAAACAAGATCAAAATCTTGACCAAAGTACAGCAGACACACCTGTGTATTATGAGGTCAGAGTCATCTAGTCAAATAGCCTGCTGTAACAAGATAGCTATAGACTAGCTATGGCTAATGGATTACTTTTTATTGTGTTAAATGTCCCCTGTTATTCAGCCGGTAAACATTAATGTGAATAGTATTCATGGCAATTTGTTGATTTAAACATATTTTTTTCTTGACAATCAAAAGCTGAAAATGTGTAGATTTGTGTGCAGGTTCATTTGTTTGTGCGTGTGCTCTTTGCGCATGCGCTGTGTTTTGCATTAGTTTGCTGAAGTCCCATAGAGAGCCTCTCTGATGCACGAGCGTCAGCCTCCCGTGCCGAAAGTTTAAACGCTCGCTTTTCGTAACAATTTTATCGAGATTAGAGGAAAACAGCAATACACCTGGCAAAGTTTCTGAAGTTGTCTTTGGAAATTAGTCGTGATGTGGAATAGCGCGGAGGAAGTTTATTTTCTGACTTGGGAATAATTCTCCGTAGTGTTTTTCCGTCATCAACTGCTTACTCCAGCTGATAGCTGAAGTGATACAGGTGAGTACAAACAACACAGTTTACTCTGACTTACAGGATTCATTCTTTCTTTAAGTAGATCGGAATTAAAAAAAAAAAGTTTATTAATAGGCCAATTAAAAATAAACTTAATTATTAAACACGTAATCGTAAAACAAAATGAGGCAGAAGTCTGTTGTCCATTTAAAGAGATATACGAACTGCTTCTCTGCAAAGATTTGCTTTTCTATAGGCTATTGGTATATCTATCTATCTATCTATCTATCTATCTATCTATCTATCTATCTATCTATCTATCTATCTATCTATCTATCTATCTATCTATCACAATTGTTTTTTTTATCGAAAGTAAATATTTTTTAAAGTTTTAAAAGTAATGGAAATAATGGAAATAAAGAACCATTACCAAAATGTTTGTTTTCAGTGCAGTGTTTTTGGATATGTTAATGCTTTAATGTGTGTCTGCCAGTGTTGTTTATCTATCTGTCTTTCTGTCTGTCTGTCTGTCTGTCATCTCGCCATTTGGCGAACTTAAATTGAACATTGCTAGCAGCAGTTATATGTTGATTTGGCTCTAAATTGTGGTAGAATAGATTATGTTTTGTTGGTTTTGTGTTTGTTTGAGATGTGTGGGATTTATTTTGTATTTGACTGTCCATTTGAGTAAACAAAGCAATTTGAGCACAGTAAACCCTATAAATGAAAAGAATTCAAACCAACTGTAAAACCTAATGAGTTAAGGCAACTCAAACCATTTAAAGAAGCAGATTGCTACTAACCATTTAAGTTAAAAAAACTAATCAATATGAGTACTGTGAACTTACTTCATTTAAGTTGAGGTAATAAGGTAATTAAATAACTCATTACCTTTAAAACTGAGTTCAAAACTCTTTTCAAATGAATATGAGTAACTTTTAGTCAATTTTGAGTTAACTACACTCATTTCATTTGATAAAGTTGACTGTTGGGTTTCACAGTGCAACATGAAGCCAAAGTGTGTCTTACAATAATAATAAAATAGTTTTGTTGTAGATCTGTCGCTCTAATTTATCTTACATCTTTGTCCATCTACAATTCATATTTGGACAAAGAAAAAAAAATATATATACATATATATTTACCCCTATCAAGTTTTCCAGTGCTTACCCACTTAATTACTTACTATTGTATTGTCATTATTAGGGTTTAACCATCCATTAATCAGACTGAGTGTAAACAATGCTTATTGAGTCTAAACAGTGGTTCTGACAATGGACTTGTTCTGTGACTCACATGTAGTTCCAGACTGAGTATACATGATCATGATATTCACAATATTTACACTGTAAATTCAGAGTATATCACACCAGACAGAGGCGCACTGCTTTTATTGACAGTGATATAAATCTGCCACTTTTTTCAGGCTCACTGCAACCAGATTATCCTGGATTACACTGTGCTCTGTGTGTGATCCCAGATCCCATAAATCAGGGAGCATTTATACGTTGCACCATACAATGTATGGATTATGGTGCTTGCATATGTTAGGTTGTTAAATGTGTACCACTGTTTGGAAAAAAAGGCTAATCTATAATCAACACATTAACACAAAGTCAAAGACTTTATTCTGAATCTGAACATTAGAGAGATTCTTGTTTTTTCCTAACAAAGATAATATCTACCATACATTTTTTTTACTGGAGGATTGAAGATACCCACTAAAATATTGCAAAATGGTTAAAAATAACAACAAAAAACATTAGTAAATTTAAAAAAAATTATGACACAATTAAACCATTATATAGGATTCACAGTATAGCCCCAAATGACTGTCATTTAAAACTCCCCCAAAATTACCCACTTCTCAGTTAATAATAATTTAGATATTAAAACATAATATAAAAATAATAATAAAAATATCAATCATTTAAGGTACAGCAAAATTTGTATATAATATACAGAAATTAGTAAGCATAAGTGAGAATAAATGTTACGCTGCGTGACAATGGAAGTCATATTTTGACATTTTGTTTTTCATAAAATTATTTTAAGTCTAAAATATGCACACAATCTGCATGTAAAGTGCTTTTTCTATATTTAAAATCACTTTTGTGATCAAAATGATGATCTTTAAAGAAATAGTTTAAATTATAGTTCAAATAGTTCAAAGATTAAATTTCACTCACCATTTACTCATGCTCAAGTGGTTTATATATATATATAGTTGAAGTCAGATTTATTAGCCCCCCTTTGAATTATATATACAATATTTCCCAAATTATGTTTAACAGAGCAATTCAATTTTCACAGTTGGTCTGATAATATTTTTTTCTTCTGGAGAAGATTTTTTTGTTGTTGTTTCAGCTAGAGTAAAAGCAGTTTTTAATTTTTAAAAGCCATTTTAAGGTAAAAATTACTAGCCCCTTTAAGCTATATATATTTTCAATAGTCTAAGGAACAAACCATCATTATACAAGAACTTGCCTAATTACCCAAACCTGCCTAGTTAACCTAATTAACCTTGTTAAGCCTTTAAATGTCGCTTTAAGCTGTTTAGAAATGTCTTGAAAAATATCTAGTAAAATAGTATTTACTGGCATGGCAAAGATAAAATATATCAGTTTTCACTGATGAGTTATTATATCTATCATGTTTAGAAATGTGTTAAAAAAATATCTCCGTTAAACAGAAATTGGGGAAAAATAAACGGAGCTAATAAGTCAGGGGGGGCTAATAATTTTGACTTCAACTGTATATATAAACCACTTGAGCATGAGTAAATGGTGGGATAATTTTCATTTTTTGGTCAATTATTTATTTAAATATGAAGCTTTTTGATTTTAAATACGTAAGGTAAGGGAAGTTTATTTACTTTCATATAAATGGCGATTAAAAGTGCTTTACATAAACAGGAATAAAAGTGACAAGTATAAATAAAATAAAAACAAATAATATAAAAACATGAAAACAGCATAAAGACATTGTTTTTCATATTCCAAACCACCGGTGTATCATGTTTTCTCATTTTACTCTGGGACTTCCCCATTCTGGTGTTGTAGAAAGCACATTACATGCAGATTGTGTGCATATTTTAGATTTCAAATAACTTTATGAAAAACAAAATGTCAAAATATGACTTCCATCATCATGAGGCGTAACATTATGCTTACTAATTTCTGTATAATATATAGGATATTTTCCTTTTTTTATATAAAAAAAAGAAACATTTGAACACAAATGCTATTCTGAAGAATTTTGGAAACCAATATATTTATATTCTGGAAATCAATCTATGTTGGATGTATAACTGAGGATGGAAACTCAAATGGGTTTGGAACAAGTGAAAAGAGAGCAAATAATTACAGAATTTTCATTTTTGTGTGAATTCCTTTACCAAATAGTTCATTGTTTAAGGTGACGTATTTTGTGATTTTAAGAGTCATGCATTTTTACCCTCTTTGCAAATGTTTTGTTTATGTTTTCGCCACTGAAAAGATTTGCATGTTGTTGAAAATTCGTGGTCAGCTTTGACTTTTGCTGCAAATTTTCCTCCCACAAACAGTGATCTCATCGCTTTTGCTTTTAGGTTATTTTAAGTGCTTTGTAATGGACCAAAATGATCCATCTATAGCAGCTAAATCTCTATTATCATTCTAAAACAAGTGCAATATTTTTTAAGTGCACATCTGGCTGCATCATCTGTTAAGTTCATTGGGCTATTGTTGGTTGCTTTGCAAAATACGCAAAGTGGGTTAACATTTCTGACCTCTGTGAATCAATGTTTAGGCCATTTGTCTGATTAAATCCGCGAGCTCCGGTGTAACAGGGAATCTGGTTTAAGCCTTAGAATTGCGGGTCCAGCTGCTACAAATGATCTGTTTATTTGCTCTAGTGAACAAATGGGTTTGTAAAGTAGTACTCACTTTCACAGTGTGACGTGACTATGGTTTTAAAGGCTTTTAAAGCGTAAACAGGCCTGCTGCAGGTTGCTGGTGTGAATGTGTCTTGTTTGTTGCACACTTTGTAATGTTTTCTTTGCTTCTTTGAAGCTCAAGTTGAAGCCACATTTCAGTGGAGCACAATCGTGCAAGGTTGTGTTACATCTTTGACCTCATTTAAAGTCAGCTTGAAGCCCCTGTAGTCTCATTTTACTCAATGAAATAGAATATACAGAAAATTATATATTGAGATTTTAAACACTAAAATTGTGTGTTATGTAAAGTGCTGCAGATATGACAATTGTAGAAAAACCTATAAGTTTAAACATAAACTCTTTCCCTTCACAAAAATCTATTTTTAAAGGATAGTTTAAAAAAATGGAACGTTATGTCATCATTTACTCACTTGCTCCAGACTTTTTGAGATTCGCTGTTTATTAATCACCTAGAAGATATTTCGGAGAATACCAGTATGCATTTACTTTCATTGGATTTTTTCTTTCTTACTGTGAATAACAATGGCTACCTCTTTTAAACTTTCTTCAAACTATCTTATTTTGTGTTTAATGGAAAAAAAGAAACTCTTAAAGTGTTTATTTTATGAACTGTCCTTTTAACTTTTAAGACTTTTCCATTGGTCTTCAGATTAATGCAGAAAAAGTTTATGATTTTTACATTGTTTAATTTTTTCCTGGTAAATTTACAAATGAACACATCTTTTTAGGATTTTAAAGGCTAAATACAACTGTGTTGAGTGATTACCATAAGCTAAATGATTGCATAAGTGCCTGTCTTCCTTTCCCGATTGATTTTTCTGTGAGGGATTTTAAGTGTTTGTTAAAGTGTTATAAGACATGAACTAAACCAACAGCTACACGGTAGATTTGAAGGTGATTATTTGAAGAAAAGAAGTATGAAAGACAAAAACACAAGGATTTAATGGCTATAATTAGCAAAAGAATCAATGAAGCAGTGTAAACGACTCAATTAAGTTAAAATGATTGCTTTTGAAAAATATAACATATTAGTTACTATTATTTATGGAAATAATATATTTGCAAATGAGTATGTAAACAAATATCGACATGAATTTTCTGTACAGCT